ATATTTGGGATAAAATATATAAATTCATTCCTCCAAAATTCATGATCTGAGATTCATATATCGTGAAGAATCTTTTTCCAAAAATCATTTATCGAACCTTTTTTATTTTCGAATCTCCCATTCTCAAATCTTTCAATCCATCAAATCTCTGAAAATCATATTTCGAATATGAATGTCCAATTCTCTCATACCCGAGACCCGAAATTCATTTGCCGATGATGATAGAATACATCAAATTCATATGAAGAAATCAAAATCCATAGAGGAATCCTTAATCAGAATTAGTGGTCATTCCCAGAATATCATACAAACGCAAAATAAAATATCGGCCATACCATCCCGAATCTCGTTATGCAAGGAAACGAAACGTAGGCTAAGACATCAAAGGCGCAATGTTCGACGATCTAGTCTGTTTGGATCATTTCTCAGGCCAGTCCCCCGAAAGAGCGCTCCAACAAACAAAAACCACGAACTATTTCCCAGCAATTGCTTAGCAGCCAAGCGGACGAAAATGTCAAGATCGAACCATGGATGAGGCGCAACAGCGACCCTTCTTGAAATAGCAAGTAAACCAGGAAATACCGACGTATTTTGTCCTAGCACGTCCAGACAACTTCTCTTTACAATGTGGCTTTATCTCGGAGATTGAAGTTGTTTGCCCGTGCGAATTCTCCCGAGCCTGCTGCGAGACCAGAGAGACTCGAAGAGCCCCAGGCGCAGTGCAACAGCATGTTCCCGAAGTATTTTCCCCGATATTTGGCAGGCAAACGAATATCTGAGATGGAGGGAATTACGGGTTTTCGACATTAGGGGTACCTTATTGGGGTCCTTTGTATCCGGGAATCTTACTATTTGGGGGTCGATTATAGGGGTCCCTTATTTTCGTAAACTCCCAATTGAGGGGAGTTGCACCACAGGCATGGCAGGCGTGTCCTTTCAAACATTTTAAGTCTCGTCGTACTGCACATCTGACATGTCTTCCACGTCTTCCAACTCGGAATTTCCCGTTGCGTGACTCTCGAGGCTCACGCCCGGCTCCTCATTCTCCAGCTGGCTGCCAGAATCTTGCGCAGAAGGCTGAAAGGCTCTTGGACTTTCAAACCATGCCTTTGACGACTCGGAGGGGGCCTCCTGCAGCGGCTGCGGAGTCGAACTCGGAGATGAACAGGGTGCATTAGACAGTTCTTGAGGCAAGCCGTGAACTTCACTCGGTTCCTCTGGCTGGGGTGGATTTGCATTCTGCGCCGAGGCTGGCAAAGTCCGGATTTGAGTTAGCAGCGTGTCAGCCACTCCATTGTGCATAGCTTTGTCCATGCCCAAGATAGCCGAATGCATAGTATTCCTCCCCTTTGGCACCCTTGAAAGGAGAAGACGCCTGTCTCCCATTTCTAGTGCTTTTCGGAAGTACTCCTCGGCAAGGGGGTTCTCGTCGGCCTGCATCTGCAAAAGGCTGCCAACCGAAAAGCACCCTGTAGCCTAAGCTCTCTCTCTATTAACTCTCTCAGGCCATTACGCAGGCACTAGGCAGGGTCTCTACTTGACTCTACAGTTCTATAGAACCCGAGAACCCCAGTTCCCCAGCAAACAGCTACCCTTGAGGCCCCACATGCCAAGAACCTGACCTCGTCGTCCTCCTCAGCACAAGTTGCATGAGCGAAACACAAGAGATGGACATACATACTCAAGTATACGATGCAGAAATCGACCCACCTTGTACTGCAAGAAGCGATGCTTGCAACAGCAAAGATCTTGACATCTCTTGACAAGCCTTTTTTCCCTCCACCTGCACCTTGACTTCCTAACCGGGGCTACAGCCACAAGGTCGGTTGAGGCTTTTCGTGCCTTAATTTAATTCAGTTTCACGTCCAGCAGACCCTTACGCTTTAAATCGGTCTTTGGCCAAACCTTGGAACCCCACCTTCAACTCTAAACAGTGGCCGAGTATCGGGATTCATGTATTCATCTCTTCGCCGGTACTTTCGATGCTTTCTTGCCTGCAGCCTCGGTTTCTCGATGAGTTTCAACCGGGCATCTGCTGTGATCTGTTTCGCCTGAATTGGGAAGGTCTAGGGACATCTGTGCCTGTGCCTGTCGATAGCAGCGGCAACTAAAGAATCGAGTAAAACATCTTTACAGACACCTCAGAACTGATTGGTGAATTTTGGGTGCGGGGGGCCTGTGTCGAGTTGGAACAGGGACAAGATGTTGGCGCCTACTCTCAATCTGAACTTGGCCCATTGATAGTGCCTTCCCAGGACGTAACCCTCACTCTTCAATATCTCTCTCTCACACGCGCCCCATTTACCCAGCAGCCCAGCACGTGCTACAGGACAACCTTGAAGCATATGATCGAAAACGATGGCCCATGACATCCCACAACACCGCACCAGAAAGCCTCAGACCCATAAGAAAGCAAAGCCTAACCTGAGGCCGCAAGGGCACTGTGCCAGGATGGGTGGTACATATTCGGCTCCCGGTGACGGAGTGGCCGGGACATCCTTCTGGAAGGTTGCACCCCATGCATGTGGCTTCAAAAGTCGAGCGGTGAAAATTTGCTCCGAGCAGAAGCTTTCACTATTGACAAACAACAGTCATCCGCAGGCTTCATGCCATCTGACTGAATGTGCTGCCCAAGAAGGCCTGGATTAGAATTCGAAGAAGCAACTGCAGAATCTAACACTGAAGCCGACAGAACAAAAAGTCCGTGCATCAGCGAATCAGGAAATAGAAAGCTTGGATGGCATCCTGTGAGTTCAGGTTCTGGCTGCAACTGCTGGGATCATGCTTGGGAGTGCTCTCGCAGTTGTGGCTCCATTTTGAAAACTTGACTGTTGAAACCCTTCTGCCTTATGGCCTTATGGAAGCCGCACCTCCACTTCGACCGATTGATCCAACAACTGCTTGTCCTCCCAGCAACAGAGGATGCGCATGACAACACACACACACACAGTAACCGAAAGCCGCAAACCAAGAAAGCGCTCTCCAACACGTTCAACACATGCTCAGCTGTCTAATCTCAAGTCCCAAAGCGCTTGTTCTGAAAATGGAGCCCAGCCTCATCCCACCGTGCATCAGCATTCTCCAAACCTGGGCGGAGTGGACTCAGATGGAATGCTGTCCGACAATCATGGGTTGGCCAGAAGACCTCCAAGCTCCAACGCATCCCAAGGGACCAGTCAGCATCTCGCTCAGATCTGGGCGCTTGGCTTGCGCCTGCAGGGCACCATTGTGACGCAACAGCACGGCCAAAACAAACACACGCCCGCGCACACACACACACACAAACAACGATAACGCATTGCTTTTCGAGAGCCCTTTGCAATAAGCTGATCTAATTGCTTCCCATAGGTTTTTCGTCAAGCATACTCCTCGTCTCTTCGCCGGGTGTCCTGCCCGGTCTCCAAAGTCCCGCCGAGGTCCCAGTATCCTTGGACTCCTTGGACCCGGAATGCCCCCAGAGCAGAGTATCCCTGACCGTAAAGGCAGTCCCGTCCGCCGAGTATCCCTGCCACCCACCCCAGAATCTAGTGGCCCACCCCCAGGCCACAGCAAGTCCCGTCGAGTATATCCCTGGATTCTTCATTTTTCAGAGAAGCCCACAAAGAGTCCCGCCGAGTCAGCCTCGAAAAAACCACAGAAAGTCTCGAGTATCCCTGGCGTGCCCTCACAGAAGCCCACAGAGAGAATCCCGCAAGAATCCCCGCCGAGTAGCACCGGAGACCCCACCCTCGCGATAGAAGCCTGGGGCGAAATCTCCGTAATCACTTGTCTGAAAACGGCAGAGTGGCTCCCACATCAGGTAGCTCTTGGGCGGGGATGGTCAATAAGTAATTGCTTGAGGTGATCGTGCTTGTTCCTTAGGTTCTAGTGACCTCATGGCTCGGCGTAGCTCCGACTGCGAGCCTTCCTGCGCGGAATCGCGCTCGCGGCAAAGATCTAACAAAACGACCTGCGCTAGGCTATTATTGTATAAGACTTAAGAAGCTTCGCGCCGGTCTACCGATCCAAGGGTCTTGGGGGCGCAATCTTGGGGTCACTTCAGTTTTCGTGTGCGATTGTTGATCGTCCTCGTCGCTAAACCACCACTAAACGGCAGGGGTCTGGCTGGATTTTTTAAGTGCAAACTAACACGAGCTGGATCTTGTCGGCCTTGAGTTGGACCTCCTCATCACCTGCGTCAGGCTCTGCTTCGTCAACAGGCTCATTTCCTGAGCACCCGCAACATTTTTAGAGACAGCGGCTTAAGATTGTCAACTCTCTCTCTCTCTGGTTCACATGAGGTCATGTAAGCTGAGTCAGGGCCGCACTAGACAACCCAACCTGTCATAGGACAATTGCCTTGACAATACACGGTTAAGATTGTCAACATTGCCATGCATCTTGCCTTGATCCCAAGCCAAGAATAACCTACCCAGCAGTTACGTTGGCCATTTCAATTTCGGAGGGTATCTCACCTCAATTCGGAGACAAGGCTTGTTTGCGCAGCTCAGAAAACCAACCCAATGTACCGACCACTTCCAGCACCGACCCTTCCAACACAAGTGGTAACCCGCAGTTGCATAAACGAAGGACTCTCACAGTAGATCTGTAAAGATGCCTCGCACTTGATTAGGCCAAAGGGCCAAGTGCTTCGAGCTGGGCAGCCTGCGGCATCTTGGGGCACGGGGCGACAGCTACTGCAGCTGCTGCAGACCCGTCGGGACGAAGGGACTCGATTTGAGGATCGACAGGCGGCCGCAGACGGCGGCCGCAGACGGTCTTGACCAAATCAGCCTTCTTTTTCCATTCTTTTCCAGTGTTGCACTACTTTGGATCATCGGATGCAGATTGCGCTGGTAAGTGGTTTGCAATGTTTGCAATGGCCCAGACACGGGCTCTGAGTGCATTCCGCAACTCGGAGCTTTAAGAACCACACCGCTCTCAACCCTTTTACCTCGTAGTCGCCGATGGTCTCTTTAAGCTCCATGAACCTGCCGTGGAGGGTACAAGATCACATAACCCCGAAACGCGAAAGCTGTCACGGATATGCACCATTTGCAATCGAGGAACTCCGGGCTTCTACCGAATGCTTCCAGCGCGGGTGCTTCTTCGGGTCTTGCCTCTTTGGTCTTGCTTCTGAACATTAGGGGTGGAGACGGTTATGGCGCAGCAGTCTTGTGCTCTTGACAAGCTTCGTCCTCCTCCTTCGCTTCGAACTTGGGTGGTCTTGCCTGCAGATTGACAAATTGAACGCTTATGTTGAACTCGAAAGTTTCTGCACGCGCGATTTGGCATTCTTGCGTCGTGCTGAAACACAATTAAGAGACCTACGAGCCTGAGGAACCAGAAACAGAACTCGCCCTAAACCTCTTATATTCCGACGCATCTAAACTTTGCAGCAGGACTCTCTAACAATGAAGGCCATGGTGGCCTCGATATCTCGCTTGTGCAGCCAGGCGCGGGTGCCCTGCGATGCCGGGACTTGTGGGTTCGGACAGGGCTTGAGCGGATTCAGTGTAGGACACAATCCGTGAGACAGGTGGAACGTTTTGGACGGTTTGACGACTCTTTCGAGGTTGCCTATAGCAAGCTAGAAGGGCTCTCCATGACTCCGCCTTTAAACCCTCAGGTGCAGGCAAAGGGGATAATAACAATATAGACGCGAGTGCGTGTGTGTGTGTGAGAGAGAGTGTGTGAGTGTGAGTGTGAGGGTGAGCGTCTGAGTGTGGGAGTGTGTGATGAGTGCCTCTGCGTCTCTGTGTGTGTGCGCGCGAGTGCGAACGCGAGTGCGAACGTGAGTGTGTGTGTGGGTGTGCGTGTGGGCGGGCGTGTGCGTGTGCGTGTGCGTGTGCGTGTGCGTGTGCGTGTGCGTGTGCGTGTGCGTGTGCGTGTGCGTGTGCGTGTGCGTGTGCGGGTGCGGGTGCGGGTGCGGGTGCGGGTGCGGGTGCGGGTGCGGGTGCGGGTGCGGGTGCGGGTGCGGGTGCGGGTGCGTGTGCGTGTGCGTGTTGGTGTGTGTGTGTGGGTGTGTGTGTGTGTGTGTGTGTGTGTGTGTGTGTGTGTGTGTGTGTGTCTGTCCGTCCGTCCGTCCGTCCGTCTGTCTGTCTGTCTGTCTGTGTGTCTGTGTGTCTGTGTTTCTGTGTCTGTGGCGCGTGTGTGAGCCGCACAAATGGAAAAAACAGAACGAAAAGGACAACCCTAAGCAATTAGGACTTCACCTTTTGCCATTTCTTGTCGCAGTCTCGGGCGCCCTACTTTGCCCCATCGGGACAATGATGGCAATCTTTTAGAGGTGACGAACGCTCGGAGGAGTACATCACCCGGGCATTCCGCAGTCCTGGATGGGCATTGCCATCCGCTTCCTCTCGGCAAGGTGTCCGAAAGGGTCCTTGGATTTGCATCCGCTGTGCGACTTGTGTTCAAGGTAAACAAGTCAGTCATCACGGATTGCGTCGCAGTTCAAGAGGGACTGCGGGTTTGCACGATACTTGAATGACTCGTTGCGGTATCTGTGGGTTGTTATGGTTGCTATGGTTGCTCTCATCCTGGCACTGCACCAGGAACGACTTCACGCTGGCAGATGCGATGCTGGCTGAGTCATGGCGGCCTTTGCCATGCTTTGAAGAATCCGAGAAGCAGCTTGAGCACTTGTGAGCACAAGAAGAAGCTGAGGTTGGGCAAGGATTGTCAAGCCCAACCCCCCACTATGCTGCCGGCTTTCGAAGTACAGGTTGCGATAGCTTGCCCTTGTCCCAATGGACATGTTGCCCTCCGTCAGAAGCTTGTGGAGAATCCTTGCAAATTGGCAAGTACAGCAAGAGAAAACAACAGAAGGCAACATCAACCAACATGTGAGGAGTCCCACCGAGGTGCTTGTGATACTCCGCGAAGACCTCTTGCTGGGTACATCTCGTTCTCAGCTCCTCGGAGCCCGACAAGAGGCCTCTCCAATTGCACATGGTGTCCTTGTACTCCACACTAGACTTTGTGAGCACTTTCCCTGACCAGCTCCTTTACCGGCTACCTTTGCGATTGGCTAGTCTAGCCACACAACCCGCAGTGTGGGGGCACGTGCGAGCGATGTCCTTGAAACGCAAGCAGCTTGCAAGTACACCGCCGAAGCATTATCAACGAAACCAGCAACTTCTGACACAGAACTCACCGTCGTTGCCCTGCAATGACCACTTAAAATCGTCTGAAGCACCACCAGTTCTTCCAAGACTTCCTGGCTCGCCGGAATGGCGAAGACCTGCCTCCAAGAGAGGTCGGGAACGACCGATTGGGAGGGCTCAGCGGGTTAGCGCTTAACGACCTAGGATAAGGCGTCGCCTTACTAATTCAAGCATTACCAGTTCGAATCCCATTAAGAAAATATTATAAGAAATCGAGGGTACCCTCAAAATTGAGGAGATTAAACTCCAGAAATTGGGCGGGCTTCACAATTATGAAATCGATGGTACCCTCGCCAAAACTTAGAGGTTTCTTATCCAGCGCTGTCACTGTACTGCTGTCACTGCCAACATCGCATGCAGCACTTGGTACGAACAAATTGTTCACCCTTCTTGAGAGATATTGCCGAGGTCTGTGCATTTTGAAGTTGCAGAAATTTCAACTGGAGAAAAACCGGTAGCTGGGCTTTCCGCAAAAGCCGGGCTTTGCCTTTTGCCTTTGAGGCGTACTCGCCCGAGCCTTTCCTCCTTGTCCCCACCCGCGGAATGTCCTCCTTCCCCCCCCTCCACCCCGCCCCGAATGTCCTTTGGGGTTCGTTTCTTGTGGCAGTGGAGGTCTGGGCCGAATCCATCCTGTCCCTTTATGAAGGGCTTGGGTACGGCTGGCAACCTCTCGATCAATTAGCTTCATGTTTTTGGATCCTTGTAGGAGCGGAGCGTTCTGAGGCCCATCTACTACTACAGAGACGTCCCAAAAACTGTAGTACAGGGTTTGACGGCCTCCCTGGGATCCTTCGTTGAGGGACGTCCAATTGCAGTCTTCAGAAGATCAAAGGCCTGCATCCTACCTGTGGTGACAGCTGTTGCGGATAAACTCGATTACAGGTTCTGCTGACTTGTGAACTCAGTGCCCGGAACTGATTTAACCAATTAGATGCCATCATTCAGCCTCTGCTGGACTTCAGCGAACGCGTCTGGCGTAGGATGATTTGGCAAATCGGTTTCCCACGTGTAGCTCGGGATTCGATGTTTTCCGGCGCTAGGCTCTGAAACTGCAGGCAGGTGACTCTTTCTGGTTCGCGAAGAGGAGGTAGAGGAGGAACACGATAGCGACCTGCCCGGGTGGCGAGTGAAAATATTGGTCAAGATCGCCAGCTGTTGTTTGTTTCTCATGCACGTCCCGGCATCCAAGGCTGTAAGGCGGCGTACGACACATGGTGAGGGTTATGCTCCAGGTTTCTTCATGGCCCGGGCAAGGTGTGCCTTGGAGACGATATTGTCAGCATCCGACATGGCGCACCAGCAAATGCCGCATATGTACTGAAAACAGTCGCGATCTACCTCAAGCTTGTTGTACTCCACGATCACCTGTGCCGACAGGCCAGGGTAATTGAAACATCTGCAGGTTACGCCTGGAGTAGCAACATGCAAAGCATGCAACAACTTGGAGAGCAGGGTCGCAGAGAAGCCCCACTCCGTGAAGATCTCCCGGAAGATGGCGAAGCCTCGTAAACCAAGAACCTTTGATACCTCCTGTGTGCATATATATGCTCCATTTCTAGCTGCTTTCCAAACCGACATGGAAGCCTGCAGGGCTAAGCATCATACCTGTGATTGGGATCTCGGATTCAAGCCGAATGCTAAATAGTTGCTCAGAGTCCCACTGAGACAGCCTTACTTCGCAGTGTCACTGGTTCTACGGCCCTTATTTGCCTTCTACAGCTCATGCTCTTCGGATTCTTCTCGAAAATGGTATGACATTGGCAATTGGTGCGAGTACCAGAACGACATTGCATGAACTGAGAGCTGTTGCAGCAGCGTGGTTATGAACTGCCATTAGCGACGACTGGGCCTGGGACTTCCACCATAACATTTGTGGCTTCGGAGCACACCGTCAGAGAAGATGTTGGAGCAATACTATTCTGTACCAAGACGGCACTATAGGGAATGAATAACTGCATAAATGAATAAGTTCATGTGTTGTGGCTTCGTTGGGGTGCAAGTATATTGTTGAGCAAGAACTTAAAAAGCCTTTTCTCCACCCGCTTAGCCACGCACTGTGGGAACAACTGTAGAAGGAGAAAGCTCTTGAAACATAACTTCTTCAGCCTGCCCAAATCGAGGACATGAAACAAGAACTAAGCACTACCCGTAGCACACCGCGACTCTTCTGCCTTGCCGCAGCTGATGTGCGCTGGCATAGACAGCAGGCCTGTTTTGTTTTGCCTGGGGTTTCGGGTTGAGGGTTCGTTCCGAATAGGGCGGCGCTGCCCGATGCGGTGTGCGGTCCGGGTAACCAAAGCAACCAACAACAGCAGAAAATTGGGGCTTGTTGGCTTGCAAGAATAATTTGAAACGAATGACCGAAAATCGCACAATCTTTCGCTGCTGCACATCTGAGCTAGGAGCCGCCAACGTAGGGTAGTTCCCTTTGGCCGAAATCTCCATCTGCGGCTTTGGCTTGCAGCCGCTTCTTGAACTCCTGTTGGAGCAGCAGACTGCGAAGACAAAACTGCTTAGAGATTCAACGGGGCAGTCGTGCTCTAAAGATCAAGTTCTGGGGGGAAAGGTGAACCAACTCAATCCGACACATCCCCCTTGACCCATAATTGACACGCAGAGATGCAAATAGAAATGCAACACCCCCACCCACACACACACCCACGCACGCACGCACGCACACACGCACGCGCACACGCACGCATGCGCACACGCGCACACACGCGCACACGCGCACACACGCGCACACGCGCACACACGCGCACACACGCGCACACGCGCACACACACACGCACACACGCACACCCCGAGACACACACACACACACACACACACACACACACACACACACACACACACACACACACACACACACACACACACACACACACACACACACACACCACATGTGTATATATATAAATATATAAGAGAGGCGTAGTGTTGACTCGTCCCTTGGGCTTACAGGACTTTGAATCTTACTGTCTCAATCGGGTCACTACTAAATCCTGTGGTGTCGTGAAGGTGGGTATTACATTCACGTCAGTTTGGCCAAGTAATAAAACCAACCGAGCACGTCAGCACGTCTCTTCACAGTCACACCCCCCTACCGGAGCACACAGCCAACATGGAAGCCCAGAAGTGGATAACGTGAGGCAAGTAAAGGACGTTCACAGCTAGATCTGCGGGCAACGAGCCCACAGAACCTTTGAGCATGTGCCCTCAGCGCCAACACAGCACGAAAGGCGACGGGGCCCCAATCACAACCACGGAGGAAAAGGTGCGGGCAAGGGTTAGGGCTACCAGGATTTCGGGTATTGCCTATGCATGGACATGCTGGGTTTGTTCATGGGCTTCAGCTTCAGGCAACTTTGGGAAGTAGGAGCTCCGTGGCAATGGTGTGCACATCTTTCTGCAACACAGTGCATCGGCCAGGCAAGATCGTAAAAGGCTCGAAGTTGCGCCGCTGGAAACCTGAGACTGCGACTGCTTTAGCATGGCAAAGCATGATGCTACTCACACTCAAGAGTACAATAGAGTACATGAGGATCATGAGGGTTGGGTGCTTTGGGTCCCCCAGGTTAGCAATTGTTTCCCACTCCCTACCCTCTCCTCACCCAAATTTGTTGGGTGCGACGTTCCTTGAAACTCCTGATGTGGGGGAGGGGGCCGGAAAAGCCGAGGACAACATTACTTCAGGATTTACCATTGCCATCTTCATTGCTCTGACTTGAGGCTGCTGAAGTAGGGCGCCGCCTCCTGACCCGGTCTTGTCGGCCCGTCAGGGTCTTCATTGCTGGACTCATCCTCCGAGGCGACAGCGCCCCTCAACCCTCCTCCTCTCTCTCTGGGGTCTTCTGGGTCTTAAGTTCTATCTATAATAGAGTCAAAAGCAGAAGGGCATCGTGTGGAACTTCACCGCTCCTCTTGTTCAAGTGCTGCCTCTGGACCTCGAATGCCCGCAAAACCACCGCAAACCTGCAACCGCTGTCTGGGCCCCAGCAAGTTAAGTTCTCCCTCGAACGCCTTGGGCTTTAGATTTTGGACATCTTCCTCCCAGGGAAGGCTCCTCGATCTTCAACATGTCCTCCTCGTCTCCCAGGACCTGGCGCTCTCCACTCAGGGTCCAAGGAGTGCTGCCTGTAGTCCTCTGGGGTGACTCCGTGAGACAACTCGCCGCGCATACTTCAAAACAGCGCGACGCCGCGTGGGTGGGTTGATGCGCTTGCTCCATCATGGCAAAGTTCCGCGTTACAGTTGCGCCCTTGCATGTCGGCTTGGCGCGGCCATCTGAACAAACATGGAACGATTCGAAATGAGGTGCGAGAATGTCAGACAGAATCAAATTAAAACCTTAAGGCCAAGCAAAAGATGCAGAAAATTCTGTGATCGGGCTTGCTTTTCGCGTCTGTTGGCTGAAATGCCCGCTTCCTCCGAGGATCAAGGGCTTGGAAAAGACTCCAAGCTGTGGAAGCACACTTCAAAATCTACAGGATCTTCGCATTTTCACGCTCGGCCACCCGCACGCTCAACGCAACTCCCGATGCCTGCCACCACAGTACAAAACACATGAGCAAACGCCTTCCAATGTGTTTGCCAGGTGCCGTGCTTAATGCCATGTCGTCGCTGCTTCCGGGTATGCTTGGTAGTGCAGAAGCTGACTCGGAAGAGCAAATCGGGAAAACAGCGTGGGCCGAAGTAGACCGAGTTAGAAAACGACAGACCGGGAGCCCGCAATGCATCCCGCCTGCCCCCCCCCCCCCCCGCCCGAGACCAGCTGGTAGAAAGGCAGTGATTTCCCTATTGGTCGCATCCCACCGGTCCCATCCCACGTAGAACTTAGATTTCACAGGACACACAACTTGCAAAACCAGTTCAGGGTTGCATGGGGGGGGGTCATTTCTGTTTCCGACTAGGGTTCACGGCGCTTCTGAGTCAAGGGGTTATCTTATTTCAACTCCGAGTATATTCGCAAATACGTTTCCTGACTGCCTGCGTCGCTCGGCGTCTCTGTGTGATGTGTCCGGCTACATTGCCCAAACAGCACTTCAGCACGTTTTAAGAACCTGCGCCAGGGGACGTTAACATAGCCGGATGCAGCAGCGCAGATCTGCGCATGCGGTTGGGCGATTTAAGATCCACCGGCGAGCCTACCAGATGTCAGTTGCCAAGCATGAGCGTGATTCCAGCATCTTTGCGGACGCGAGCGCATTCAACAACAGGTTGCTCGTTGCATGACCAACTGAGGACGTGTAGAAGCCTGTGCGTGGTCAAAACAACATCTAAAGTGTGGTGAAGGAGATTCATGGAGATCACTGGAGATCCACGGAGATCCCGTAGCCGCAAGCATCCCTAAGCCGAAGCCGGCACCTGGCCTTTGCTGTCCTGCTCCTGTCCGCATGCGCCTCCGCCTTGCCCTTGGGCTTGGCCGGCTTGGCCTTGCCTTGACTGCTCCGATTGCTCTTCTATTTTGCACGACTCATCTCCTCAGGACAAACCGCTCCCTGGATTTGATTTCTGAATGCTACACAACACAGGTAACAAAGTTCCTCCAAGCTGCGAGCTTTAGCCTTGGCTTTGGCCTTGACCTTGGCATCCTTTGCACTAGCCAGCCCACTAGCTGCGCCATCGACCAAACCATTCGCAAGCCTCTTCAGCACCATTGCTTGCAGGGAGATCCCCACTGCTGTGGGCTGATGCAATGTTCCCATCTCGAAATCGTAGGGCAGGTGATGGGTAGGTTTGGGATGGTGATGGGGTGGGAAACCATCTTGGGGGCTACATGTCTGCAAAAAATTATGTACAAGTGCTTGTGCCTGCACAGCCGCAGCCAGATGCATCCTTGCTGCGTCAAGCTTGCTAAGACGCCAATGCCTGACGTCTTAGTATCTTTTGCATCTCTCGTCGCCAAGAGGAAGTGATATCGCTGGAAAGTGACTCCGCCAAGCCGTCATGCATGTCCCTACTATTTGGTTACTGCTAGAGCCTGTGTCAGCTGGGTCCTGCCTTGGCTCTAGGTGCCTTTGATTTTTCTTTTCATGTGGTACGCTCCCCGACGAATGATGATCTAGACGCTCCTATCGGCCCTATCGGCACAGCAGAGTAGTTTTGCTTCTACGCTCGGAATTTGTCGGGGCTGGAGGAGTCATCATGGCCTTCCAGGGCCACCTAAGCCGTGGAATCATACTCTCAGGCTTCCGGCACCATCTCTGACAGCGTTCAACGCCACATCCACGGAGCCGCTGCAGCAAGCGACATTCGCTGGAGTTTAAACTCTGGCGCAATGTTGAATGGTTGGCGTTGCGCCACAACCTACATTCGCAGTCTCGGCTTGCTTCAGCCAGAGACCGTCATCATGTTGGAGGGACTAGTCCTCCTCACTGTCAACGACCCGGCGCTTCTTCCTGCGTGCCCCGCCCTCTTTCAGCTTGCCTGGGCTGCTGCTGGCGCAGTAGGTTCCTATACTATGTCTTGTCCGCGACAGTCAGCAACAGTTCAGCAACAAACGGCCAACCATTCACACATCGCCAAGTGGCCTTGAATTCGCACAGGGAGCCCTGCGTAGGTGAAATCAGGTGTCTGCACCTTGCCAGGCTTGGCTTGGCTTGGGACGGCATGGCTGCGTTTGGCTCTTTGGATCTCTTTGACTCTTGCCCGTCCTACAGCCTGAAGCTTTGCTTGATGGCTTAGTGACGTAGTGCCCTGCCCCATGACTGCACGTAGGCATGTTACCCTTTGCACACATTTACCAACAACAGCGATGCCCATCTTAAAGTAGGAGCCCCTGTTGCAAAACCCCTCATGTTCCACCTCGGCATCCCTGATGTCCACGAACTGGTCCTGTCCAGCAAAGCTGAATGACTGAAGGCGCCCCCTCCTCGGAAAGGATTGGTTGCACATCGCAGGCATATAAAAGCTTAGGCTGGACACTTCCCAGCCCCGAGTTCGCATCTGCGACAGTCAGGCTGCAATGGTCTCAACCATTCACTCACTAGTCACTAAGATGCCCCCAAAACCTTGAGGACCTGAAACATTGCGAACACGCTTTGACGAAAGGAGTGCCATCTTAAGAGCTGCCTACAACAGAACCGCCAAAAGTCCACGGACATTCAAAAACAGCAGCCACCCTGTGCCATGCCGTGCCCGTGTTTGCTGTGCTGTTCGTTTCATGCTGTCATCTTCAACTCCAAGCCCAATGAAAAAAAGCACGGGCTAATGCGGATAAGACTCAGAGAGACACGCCACAAACGGGGAAGCTTTGCTATCTCTTTCGCCCAGGCCTTTGAAGCATTTCGCTGCAAGCATCTGTGATTTCAGGATGCTTCCGGGTGCTTCAGGGCAGTGAGCTCACGTGGCCTTGTTAAAAGCGTCCAGGATATGCACCTGCTCATCCGGGGGCACCTGGTTCTGGAGCTCCTTCAGAACCTGCAGGGTGCATTTCACGCGTTTACATCCAGACCCTTGAGCGCAGGCGAAAAAGAGCCTCTAAGCCAAGCTTCTTCTTGCACGTTGCTGCTGGTGGGCATTACGATAACTGTGCCTCTTGGCCGCACAACTCCTTTAGACCAATCCTTTCATCCCATGGCATTGGTGTGTGTGATCAAACTCTTTGACATCCTGGACGCCTCGGTCAGGCACTCACCCAAGATCGAAGCCATTTCTGGGCTCAGAATATTTTGGTGGGCTTCTTCGTGTAGCCCCTGCTGGGAAGCTGAAGGTGCCGCCACCGCCATGGCCAGGACTTCGGCAACGGTCCTTACGTCATTGCTGATATGTGCTCGTCCTTCGGCGGTACTGCAACCAGGACTCAAAGAAGGTGTTGGCTCTTATCGGAGATAGAGCTACAGGCAAGGTCATCTATGTAACTCCAAAGTGGGGCGCTATTCATTGCGCAGCACAGCTTATACAGCACACTGCTCTGACCTGACAGGCGCTTTGGCCATGAAACGCTGGAAACGCTTCAACTGTTGGCCCCATGCCAGATCAAAGCGACTAGGGGATCCGAGACAAACGTGCCAAAGCTTTGGTCGATTCTTCACGAAACGTGCCAGGTCCCACTTCCAGCCCGACGCCTCGGCAACAGCCCATCACCCCTGACTCCGCAACCCAGCTGGAGCCCCCCAAAGTGAAATTCAATTTAACCTATCCAGCAAGATGTTGAATCAGACGCTCTGTTTTTGCAGCTTGTGCCCACCGCAGTCCCGAATGATAGTTGGATATTCCCAGGTTCTAAAACAACCAGGGGCCCAAAAACTCCAAACATCATCGGGAACATGTGCAGACTTCCTGCATGACGGGGATGCTGCGCAGCATCGTACATGAAGACCGTCTGCAACCTTTACTCGGCTTCACTGGCCGAGAAGCAAATCCATTCCACGTAAACCCGAAGTGAAAATACTAGGCGCAGGCCTTTGGACGCCCCCGCTTCTTTTGCGGAGCTTCAGCTATAACCGGAGCCGCTTGTTCCCCGTTTAGTTTCAGGGATTCGGGTTCTGAAGTTCTGTGCTTCAAGCTGTGAGGGGTGTCAAGATCGGCTCGAGTGCAATCGCTGCGTCAGTCCACAGTCGCTGACACCGGCGCTGACCTTGGACAGGCTGGGCCGGGTGGGCTTTGTCAGTTCTACACATGGATGTGACCAAGGCATTGGCTCCGTCTCTCCTTTAGGCTCTTCCTCCCAGGGTTTCATGACATATGCCAGCAACATCTTGAGAAGGAAGACTGTGATGGGCTGCCTTCCGTTCACCAAACAGCTGTGCACCCAGAAATGAAACCAATAGTCCTGAGAGAAAACCCGTTGGTGGTCCTGGGCAGGCATAACGTCCACAATGTGTTTACTTGCAAGGCATGATGCAAGCTGGCCTTCATGATGTCCAGCACAAAGCCCAATTGACGTTGTCTCTGGGCATTGGTGTACAGGCTGGCGCGAAGGTGCTGTTAAGTGACAAGACGAGACCATAGATGATAGCACAACAATCTGCGATCCAGCTCATAATAAGAGGAGTAGCGTGTTTACCAACATGTGGTACCCCGATCATGTGGGCCGGTGCCCGACTGTCAATGGTTGAGCGAACTTGCAAGCACGCGTCAACTGGTTCAACCGTAAAAAACACAGGCATACAAAGGCGCAAGCAGCACATTCCCCGACAAGCAAGCAGGCGCAACAACCAAAGCGCAAAGAAGCATGTTACGGCATCTAGAATCCAGACAACAAAGCCGTTAAGCAACAATCGGATCGATGGACGTCAGATTGACTGCTGATGGACCTGGGTGGCTTACTAAGTGGGCCAATCGCCTGTGCAGGTCTTTCGCCGTTTCCTTTTCGATGTTGATCTATCACGCTCTTCAGCTCTGCTTTAGCATGAGTGAGCTATGATTGAGTAAAGAGCGACAATGTCCAAATGTACACCTTCTCGTTCTTTCTTCATCGTTCTACAGCAAGACATCGTTCAGCTCTTCTTCGGATTCCACTGCGACTTCATTTTTAACCAAGCCCGGCGCAAGATTCCGTTGCTGCAAAGTGAGCTGCTAGATAAGAGGATGCTGCAAGACACGTTGCAAGATCCCGTGAAAGACAGTGCTGCTGCACACGAATCCAGCCAGGTCCGCTCCAGAACCTGATCCTTTGACAGACCTCGGGCCATGTCCTCCTCTGTCAGGTGGCGGCCTGCGCTTGCTGAAGTGGGTTGGAATTGGATGTGAGCTCCAGGGGCCTCCATTAGGTGCTGCAGCAATGATGAGGGAATTGAAGGCCTCTTCCTCAGTCGTACTTCGCTTGAGAGGCTGCAAACTGTTGACCTGGTTTGATCTGCGCGCGTGCAACACTGATTTCGAGTCCAGCCACACCCATCTCCGTACCCTCCGTTGCAAGCTGTACAGCTGAAGTTTCTTTGAAGTTCCAGAAGCCATCCTGAAAGCGGCTGGGTAGGCAAAGGGGCACACACTTCATCGTACGAATCGATATGTGACTCATGTCGTGTTTCAACTACGTGGATGCACGGGAGTGTCGAGACAGGTGAACAGGGAAGCTAAAGCGCATGCGCACATCGGCTGCAGCCTTGTCTTGGTCGAAGTGCAAGAAGAGCTCCTCTTTAACGTGGAGTCAAGGAGTCAAACTGCACCATGCGATGCTCCAAGAAGGGCGGGGTCCTCTGCCAGCTTGAGGGTCTCGTTGGTTTTTGTCACGTTCACCCACAGGTCCTGTGATGTTGCTACACATTGCGACTTTACGGCTGCCACAGCCATGGCACAGTGTCCGACCACTTGGTGTCCCTGCAACACTCCCGCCTGCGCTGTGTTGCCCGCGCCAATCTGAATCAACGGAGCCTTCGATTTTTTTAGCACTTGCTCTGATTGCAGTGCATCATGGCCAGTTCGCCTGAATCAGGTCTGGGTTGTTCTGATACAGCGACCATACATCCTCTTCTGAGCCTCGCATGCCAAGGCAGTAGGGGGACCAACAACTTATGAGCCCAAGAGCTCATGCCACTTGTGCCTGCGACGCTACTGTCGTGGCCTTCCTGCATGGCCTGCAGCAAAGCCTGACAGACAGAAGCAACGGAGAGGCCGCACATCGTGTGCCCGTGCTACTGTGGGCTTTATGAAGCCTTTTGGCTCCCCAAGAGTTGAGAGTCTCATTTTATGAACAACGGGCAAGCCATTCATGCACAGCATTGCGTGGCTCCCCAGATCCTCGGCCAAGGCTGCTTCGCTGCCGGCTTTCTCTAGCGCATCGTCCTGCCGAAGGGTTTGGCTTGGGATGTACTGCACACTGAGGCTGATTGAATGTCGGAGGTTTTCAGGATGTGCCGTTTCTACGTGCTGACAAATACAGGGAGCATGGACCTGTGTGGCAGCCACACAGCATACTCAATTCTGCTTGACGCGCCCCCATGCGCTTTTCTTTCTAATTATTGGTTCCGGGATCGACATCCTCCGCCCAGCAACAGATGCTCCCCACGAAATCCAAAGGTGTCCGAAATCTCGACGCTGCGCAGGTTCTGCAGGCCGTCGAACCTGAAATGCCCAGTTTTCCAATCACATGCTCAGTGTCCTCAAGCCCTCACCGCCCAGAAGGCACTGAAAGCGCAAGAAGACATGGACATTGACAAAGCCCCCGACGTGACTGTTGCCGCCCCATCCAAAGCAGACGCCTCGCGCTACTTTTCGGTTGGAGTTGCAGTCTGTGTTTTGCCAGTTTGCCAGTTGTGAGACCATACGGCACATACGGCACATACGGCAAAGCCAAGCCCTGAGACTTGAGACTCAGGATTCGAGAGAGAAGAAAGCAACAGTCTTTGTGACCTCGTTTCTGCCTTTCATGTCAAGAAGCCTCGGGTTCGGGCTGAAGCCCACGTCAGGAACTTGGGGTTTCACCTTTAGCCAAAACCTTGAGACAGAGCATGTTTCATACTTCGCTCATGTATTTAACGCCAGTTCCATAGAACTCCGTATCAGGCAAAGTTTCTTTGCTTTTGAATGTTAAGGCGTTTTCATTTAATAAACACATAAGATCGTTCATTCCTTCTTCTACTTGTTGATGTTTCGTGAATTGACGAGAGGTTGGTTGAACTGCCGGCTGCTGAGCCTATGAGCCTAGGCAGTCAGGAAATATCTCAAGTAGAATTGCAATTCGCGACCTTGAACTCGGTGTGTTCCATCTGGAATCCAAGGGCTTTCATGTCGTGGCCAGCCGCCACCTGCGCCTCACACATTGCAAGACCATTTCTTTGCTTACAGCGGCCAGCTTTGGATCAACCTGGATCAGCTTCAAGTTGGCTTTGGACTGCAGAGCCTGGAGCACTGGCAGGTATGCACATTGGGAACATACGAAGCTGGATCGTCCAGGAGCCGGCCGGAATTTCGGATGCGGATGCGGCACGGGCGACAAGCCTGACAGATCTGATCGCGCATGCGAGCAAAACGAACCAAACCCTGAACTCTCTGTCTACAGACAAACTGAGGCCTGTTTAGTTACACCACAGTGCCGACACCTTCTTCTCGGAGGCCCTTGGACGGCAGGGCCGGAGAAAGCCACCTGGCATTGAAACTAAAATTTGTGAGGGCACATCCGCTCAAACCACCAATTACCAGTTCGTCGGGCTCACTCCCCAGATGTCTTTGGCACTCGCTTTCCCCAGCCAAGGGACAGCGACTTGCGCGACCAACGGGGACACCACGGCCTTAGTCATGACAGTCAACGAGGCCGTTGCGAAGTGCGAAAAGCTGCTCAATGGCTATGCGGGTTACCCACACGCTGGCTGAGGCATTGGCCGCCACCAGCAACGGCCCCAGTCTTCGACGGAGGCCCCGATGACACCCTCACAACAAAGAGTTCGCACCCTCACTGCAAATGCAAAAACGCGCCGCGAAGTAGTTCGCAGGCCTAGGACCTGGGAATTGTTTTTCACCCTGTGCGCGCGCGCAAGGCCGCAAGGCAGGGGAGCGGAACCGGCTCTGCAACTCTGCACAGATGCAGATCTCCTACTCGCCGGCCGTGCGATGTGGTGCGGGGCACTGCTCTGCAGAAACATCCAACGAGCCGTCAGAGCTTTACAAAGCATAAATCCCCCTTGCAAATGGCATGCTGCTCCCGTTGGAGCCCTCGAATTGCGGGCTGCTTGGGTCTTGAGACGGTCTTCGCATCATCTTGGCATCGCAACACAAAAGCGACTAGGAGTACCGAGGTGTCGGATGCTGCGACAAATTCTATCACGATCAGGTGACATCATGCCAACGATAGCGCACAGCATGCAGGACCATGAAACTGTACTTCAGCCCCCTGCTGAAACGACCGTCAGTGCACCCAGCGGTAAACCACCCAGGCCCCATCGCTAGATCAAAGGGGCACCAAGGGCTACTGAATTACTGGTCGGTGCTGCACCCTGCTGATCCCAACCTTTGTGATGAACTGGACTCTGGATGACTCTGGCACACCTATACAAGTAGAGAGAATAGCAGAGATCGCAGAGAAGGCCATGCCACCTGCACTCAGAGCTGGATGGAGACAGCCCGCAGCTAAGCGCCGCCAAGCTTGCTGCTCCGCACCGCTGCGGAATTTGCCACTTGCAGAATGAGATCAGCGGCTCTCCGGACTCCACCTCAGGCAATGCTGGTCGCGCGTGACACATGAGTTGATGGCATCTAGTGGGGATAAGGAGTACAGACTCAGCAGAGGTCACCTGGGAAAACGGCGTGTGGCACGCTTCATAAGGCTTCATGAAGTCAACCCTGGCGCCTGCAGATTGCATCTGCGATGCGCACTCCCCAGCTTTGGCCTTGAAATCTGGGTTTGTGTACACCGATTCGAGAGCTGCCATGACATCTTGCCGATACTTGGCAGCCACCTGTGGCGCTTCACTCAGGTCACACAAAGGGCGCTCGATCTGCAAGCCGACACCCAGCTGGACAGCTTTCTTCGCGTTGACGGGCTGGTCTCCGAAGCCTGGGCAAACGACCACGGGGACGCCGGTGCTCAGCGACTCCATGAAACTGTTCTGGCCACCGTGCCTTCGACATTTGCAGACCCGCGGCCAGTCTTTACACGATTCCATACGAAACAAACGAAAATTGCATCTCTCTTTCTCGAAGGTGGCTCTGCTAAGCCTTCTAAGCCCGTCTTGGTTGCTGCGCTTTGCCCCGTTTCCCCTTCGTACCTGTGTCCGTCCCTTCACTTTTGCTTGTCGCTGCTAGTCTTCGTGGTTTTTTCGTTGTCTTCGGCGTGGGGTTGCTATCGGCTCCTCGGCGCCTGGCGTCCCGCCCGGTGCCCTGAGCGAGTTGCCCGTATGCGAGTAATTATCCCCTGGGACCATGGTCAGAGAAGCCCGTAGTCGTGTTCGGTATCCTTGGAGTCTGCAGTGCCCAATCGCAGAGAATCGAATCCCGGCCAAACTTCGGAGAAGCCTGCAGAGAGCCCCACCGAGCATCCTTGGCCGCAGAGAGGAGAGAGTCCCGCCAGTCTCCAGGCATGGTCCCTGGACTGCGTCCCAGAAAGGTCACAGTTTTTGGGATACCCCCGCCAAGTGTTTTGGACAGAGAGTGCCACCGAGCAGCCCTCCCTGGAGTGCCAACCCGGGTATCCTTGGAGTGTGCACCCCCAGAGAATCTCGTGGAGAGTGGGCTAGCCCACTCCCACATCAAGACCACTCTCTCTCTCACAGGCGCTCAGTCAATGCTACATCAAGACCACTCACTTCGAAAATCCCCACCCAGTTGTTCAAGCGTCAATCTAGATCAAACCCCGTCCGGAAGCGACATTTCGCTCCTCGTAGCAACATCGGTACAACTCGGCCGCCCTGGCCTGCTCAGTATGGGGACATTTCGGTATAGTTGCCCGCTTGAGCCTTCCTGGCCTGCTTAGTATGGCAACACTTCGGTACAGGGCCTGGCAACATGTCGGTACAGTTCACCGCCTGAAGAAGGCGACATTTCGGTACAGTCGCCCGCCCGAGCCCCGAGCCTCCCTGGCCTGCTTAGTAAGGCGACACATCGGTACAGTTGCCCGCCTGGGCCTCCGTGGCCTGTTTGGTGTGGCGACACTACTTCGGTACAGTTTCCCGCCTGAGCCTCCCCTGTGCTTAGTGAACTGCACTCTCTGACGCTCCCTGACCTGCTTAGTGTGGCGACATTTCGGTACAGTTGCCTGCCTGAGCCTCCGTGACCTGCTTCGTGTGACGGCATGTGGCGACATTTCCATACAGTTGGCCACCTGAGCCTCCCTGTCCTACCTGCTGTCGTTGCACTATCCTGGATCTGTGCTGGTCCTGACTGCGTCGCGTCACATGATGCGTGCCACTTTCTCCCTAAAATCTCATTTCCCTACTTGTCTGTGAATTTAGGTCTTGGACGAGGGGCGTCAGAAAGAGGTCCACGCCCGCTTTCAGGATGTCCACTTGCGGCATAACTGGCAAGCAGACGGCGTTTGCAGGAGGTGAGAGGTTCTCCAGCGCATCCGCCTGAGGCCCGAGGGACACCAACAGCAGTGGACCCTCGTCGGCGCTGTCGGCGCCAAAGGCATCGAAAAGGCCACGCCAGGCTGCTTGGCAAAGCTCTTTGCCAGTCAATCCCTGAGGAACCCCATCGACTGACCTCGGCTCTGCAAAAGTATTTCCGTGAGTGCTTCTCTCAGGTTTGACAACTTCAACAGCGGAGTGTAGCGATACTGACGATCGTCCAGGCGGCATGTTGTGTCTCCAGCCAATTTCTGGACTGTCCCCTGTAATCACTGTCCCCATGCTTGCAAAGACAACCTGTCGACCAGCTTCATGAGCCCTGACAAGCAAGGTCAGTGGATCTGCAGGCTGTGCAGGGTCAGCAGGCTCAGCAGGCTCAGAGACTTTCGGCTCTGGCTCCGAAGCCTTCGAAAACTTGTGCCCTGCCGCTCGCTTGGCCCCGGCCTTGTCCAAAAGAGGCCCGACGTAGGCAAACTCCGTCTGGGCTGCGGCATACACCTCCTGCACCTCCGGTGCCAAGGGGTCTGCCAGGAGCTCGACGGTTGTGACCAGCGTCAGCGCAGACTGCTTCGCGACCACCGAGACGCCAAGTGGCGACATTTCCTCGTCAATCGTGATCTCCAGTCCATACGTGTTCCGCAAGCGCTCGATGGCATCAAGAAGGGGCTGATAGGCGCGACGCTCCTCAGGGGCAAACAACAGGCAGTGCTTTTTGTGTTACTCCAGCCTTTGGTCAAGCTGTCACGAATTGTCAAGCACTCTCCTCGAGGCACCGCTCAGGGGTGTAGCCCATATTCCCCAACCACTCCACCGTCGCGGAACGCAAGCTTCCCGGTCCTGCTGTCGTCAGGATGCCAACGCAGGGGATGCCGAGAAGCTGCGCTCCCCAACAGGCCTCCTTGTTCATTAAAGGGCAAATGACAACCACATCAGCCTTTACTTTTCGAAGCCAGCGGAGGATACCAGGCAGCATCAGCTCTTGCATGATTTCCCGAAGCTTGAACATAGCGACGAACAGGGTCTCAGACTCCAAGCCATATTCCTTCTGCAGGTCCGTCAAGCACCCGAAGAGGTCAACATTTCTGCCCTCGTACATCTCGGGCAGAGCCTCGACTTCTGAGTGGAAATTGGCACCTGTGTCCTCGATTGCCTCCTTCATCTGCTCCCTGCACAAGTACGACACTTCGTGGCCTTCCTCCACCAAGGCACGTGCGACTGGCAGGGATGGGTTGATGTGCCCGGAGGCCATGGGAAAGATGAAGGCAAACTTCCGCGTCGGGATCGACATGCTTGGGCTAGGGCGACTAGTTGTCACGAGGAGTATACTTACAGCTCTGAGCCAGGCAGCTTCTCCTGAAGCAGCACGGCGTAGCATAGTGGAAGCACTACTACAGCAACAACAACAACAACAACATGACACGGCAACGCAACCAAAAACAGCGCGGAGCGCGACCCTCCAGATGCCAGAAGCGGCACGAAACCTTGCAGCCGGACTTGCCTCGTGTTCCCTGCGCCATGGGCTCCATGTGAGGCCCGCAAGGCCCAACACCACGAGCAGTGAAAGATCCCCTGTGAGATGCAAGTTGCCGGCAGCTTTGTGGATTGGCTACCTCACTTCTTCCTTCTTCACATCTCCGTTCAATCGGGTCAGCAGCTTGAGCCCCAAAAGGTACACAAAGCTGATGCCGAACCGGATAAAGGGAGGAGCATGACGCAAGCAGCAAGAGGGCTCACACCTTTTTTTGGCACATACAGCCACAGTTTTATTGCATGATGTAAGCATGATATATAGCCTTCATTTATGCAGCATATTGTATTCTGCTTGGCACGCTTGGCACACCTCCTTGCTTTCTGTCTCCTTCCATTCAGAGACTCCCCACGATCCAGGACACCACGGCCTTTGTCATCACATGTCATGATGGTCAACGAAGCCGTTGCGAAGTGTGAAAAGCTGAGGCTTTGGCGGCCACCTTCCACGGCCGATGACACCCTTGCAACAAAGAGTTCGAGGTGAGGCGACAGCGAAGTAGTCCTGCAGGACCTGGGAATTGTTTTTCACCCTGTGCGCGCGCGCGCATGGTCGCACGGCAGGGGAGCGGAACCGGCTCTGCAACTCTGCACAGATGCAGATCTCCTACTCGCCGGCCGTGCGATGTGGTGCGGGGCACTGCTCTGCAGAAACATCCAACGAGCCGTCAGAGCTTTACAAAGCATAAATCCCCCTTGCAAATCGCATGCTGCTCCCGTTGGAGCCTCGAATTGCGGGCTGCTTGGGTCTTGAGACAGTCTTCGCATCATCTTGGCATCGCAACACAAAAGCATCTGGGAGTACTGAGGTGTCGGATGCTGCGACAAACTCTATCACGATCAGGTGAAATCATGCCAACGATTGCACGCAGCATGCAGGACCATGAAACTGTACTTCAGTCGCCTGCTGAAACGACCGTCAGTGCACCCAGCGGAAAACCACCCAGGCCCCATCGCTAGATCAAAGGGGCACCAAGGGCTACTGAATTACTAGTCGGTGCTGCACCCTGCTGATCCCAACCTTTGTGATGAACTGGACTCTGGATGACTCTGGCACACCTATACAAGTAGAGAGAATAGCAGAGATCGCAGAGAAGGCCATGCCACCTGCACTCAGAGCTGGATGGAGACAGCCCGCAGCTAAGCGCCGCCAAGCTTGCTGCTCCGCACCGCTGCGGAATTTGCCACTTGGAGAATGAGATCAGCGGCTCTCCGGACTCCACCTCAGGCAATGCTGGTCGCGCGTGACACATGAGTTGATGGCATCTATAGTGGGGATAAGGAGTACAGACTCAGCAGAGGTCACCTGGGAAAACCGCGTGTGGCACGCTTCATAAGGCTTCATGCAAGTCAACCCTGGCGCCTGCAGATTGCATCTGCGATGCGCACTCCCCAGCTTTGGCCTTGAAATCTGGGTTTGTGTACACCGATTCGAGAGCTGCCATGACATCTTGCCGATACTTGGCGGCCACCTGTGGCGCTTCACTCAGGTGGCACAAAGGGCGCTCGATCTGCAAGCCGACGCCCAGCTGGACAGCTTTCTTCGCGTTGACGGGCTGGTCTGCGAAGCCTGGGCAGACGACCACGGGGACGCCGGTGCTCAGCGACTCCATAAAACTGTTCTGGCCACCATGCCTTCGACATGACTTGCAGACCCGCGGCCAGTCTTTACACGATTCTGAAAGAAACAAACGAAAATTGCATCTCTCGAAGGTGGCTCTGCTCAGCCTTCTAAGCCCGTCTTGGTTGCTACGCTTTGCCCCGTTTCCTCCTCGTACCTCTGTCCGTCCCTTCACTTTTGCTTGTCGCTGCTAGTCTTCGTGGTTTTTTCGTTGTCTTCGGCGTGGGGTTGCCAGAGTCCAAGTCAACCATGCTCCTCGGCGCCTGGCATCCCGCCCGGTGCCCTGAGCGAGTTGCCCGTATGCGAGTAATTATCCCCTGGGACCATGGTCAGAGAAGCCCGTAGTCGTGCCCGGTGAGGATCGAATCCCGGCCAAACTCCGGAGAAGCCTGCAGAGAGTCCCGCCGAGCACCCTTGGCCGCAGAGAGTTGAGAGTCCGTGGACTGTTTCCCGCTTTTGGGACACCCCTGCCAAGTATCCTGGACAGACTGTGCCGTCGAGCAGCCCCAGAATCCCTAGAGTGCCAACCCCCAGTATTCTTGGAGTGCACACCGCACACCCCCAGAGAATCGAATCCCGTGGAGAGTAAAACCTGAACGGCAGGATGGGCTCCCAGATCAGGTAGCCGTATGGTGGGGATCGATGCAAAATCTCACTTCGAAAATCCCCACTCTGTTCTTCAAACGTCAACTCTACAAGATTGGGGAGCCTCTTGAAGGTATGACGACATGCCGACCCTAATCTAGATCAAACCCCGTATGGAAGCGACATTTCGCTCCTCGGCTTTCCTGGCCTGCTTAGCAAGGCAACATCGGGCGACATTTCGGTACAGTTGCCTGCCTGAGCCTCCGTGACCTGCTTAAAGTGTGGCGACATGTCCATACAGTTGGCCACCTGAGCCTCCCTGTCCTACCTGCTGTCGTTGTACTATCCTGGATCTGTGCTGGTCCTGGCTGCGTCGCGTCACATGATGCGTGCCACTTTCTCCTTAAAATCTAGTTTCCCTACTTGTCGGGTGGGGAACAATGTGGATTTTAGGTCTTGGACGAGGGGCGTCAGAAAGAGGTCCACGCCTGCTTTCAGGATGTCCACTTGCGGCATAACTGGCAAGCAGACGGCGTTCGGCGTTTGCAGGAGGTGCGAGGTTCTCCAGCGCATCCGCCTGAGGCCCGAGGGACACCAACAGCAGTGGACCCTCGTCGGCGCTGTCGGCGCCAAAGGCATCGAAAAGGCCACGCCAGGCTGCTTGGCAAAGCTCTTTGCCAGTCAATCCCTGAGGAACCCCATCGACTGACCTCGGCTTTGCAAAAGTATTTCCGTGAGTGCTTCTCTCAGGTTTGACAACTTCAACAGCGGAGTGTAGCGATACTGACGATCGTCCAGGCGGCATGTTGTGTCTCCAGCCAATTTCTGGACTGTCCCCTGTAATCACTGTCCCCATGCTTGCAAAGACAACCTGTCGACCAGCTTCATGAGCCTTGACAAGCAAGGTCAGTGGATCTGCAGGCTGTGCAGGGTCAGCAGGGTCAGCAGGCTCAGAGACTTTCGGCTCTGGCTCCGAAGCCTTCGAAAACTTGTGCCCCGCCGCTCGCTTGGCCCCGGCCTTGTCCAAAAGAGGCCCAACGTAGGCAAACTCCGTCTGGGCTGCGGCATACACCTCCTGCACCTCCGGTGCCAAAGGGTCTGCCAGGAGCTCGACGGTTGTGACCAGCGTCAGCGCAGACTGCTTCGCGACCACCGAGACGCCAAGTGGCGACATTTCCTCGTCAATCGTGATCTCCAGTCCATACGTGTTCCGCAAGCGCTCGATGGCATCAAGAAGGGGCTGATAGGCGCGACGCTCCTCAGGGGCAAACAACAGGCAGTGCTTTTTGTGTTACTCCAGCCTTTGGTCAAGCTGTCACGAATTGTCAAGCGCTCTCCTCCAGGCACCGCTCAGGGGTGTAGCCCATATTCCCCAACCATTCCACCGTCGCGGAACGCAAGCTTCCCGGTCCTGCTGTCGTCAGGATGCCAACGCAGGGGATGCCGAGAAGCTGCGCTCCCCAACAGGCCTCCTTGTTCATTAAAGGGCAAATGACAACCACATCAGCCTTTACTTTTCGAAGCCAGCGGAGGATACCAGGCAGCATCAGCTCTTGCATGATTTCCCGAAGCTTGAACATAGCGACGAACAGGGGCTCCGCCTCCAAGCCATATTCCTTCTGCAGGTCCGTCAAGCACCCGAAGAGGTCAACATTTCTGCCCTCGTACATCTCGGGCAGAGCCTCGACTTCTGAGTGGAAATTGGCACCTGTGTCCTCGATTGCCTCCTTCATCTGCTCCCTGCACAAGTACGACACTTCGTGGCCTTCCTCCACCAAGGCACGTGCGACTGGCAGGGATGGGTTGATGTGCCCGGAGGCCATGGGAAAGATGAAGGCAAACTTCCGCGTCGGGATCGACATGCTTGGGCTAGGGCGACTAGTTGTCACGAGGAGTATACTTACAGCTCTGAGCCAGGCAGCTTCTCCTGAAGCAGCACGGCGTAGCATAGTGGAAGCACTACTACAGCAACAACAACAACAACAACATGACACGGCAACGCAACCAAAAACAGCGCGGAGCGCGACCCTCCAGATGCCAGAAGCGGCACGAAACCTTGCAGCCGGACTTGCCTCGTGTTCCCTGCGCCATGGGCTCCATGTGAGGCCCGCAAGGCCCAACACCACGAGCAGTGAAAGATCCCCTGTGAGATGCAAGTTGCCGGCAGCTTTGTGGATTGGCTACCTCACTTCTTCCTTCTTCACATCTCCGTTCAATCGGGTCAGCAGCTTGAGCCCCAAAAGGTACACAAAGCTGATGCCGAACCGGATAAAGGGAGGAGCATGACGCAAGCAGCAAGAGGGCTCACACCTTTTTTTGGCACATACAGCCACAGTTTTATTGCATGATGTAAGCATGATATATAGCCTTCATTTATGCAGCATATTGTATTCTGCTTGGCACGCTTGGCACACCTCCTTGCTTTCTGTCTCCTTCCATTCAGAGACTCCCCACGATCCAGGACACCACGGCCTTTGTCATCACATGTCATGATGGTCAACGAAGCCGTTGCGAAGTGCTAAAAGCTGCTCAATGGCTCTGGCGACCTCTGGCGGCTATGGCTCCTCGGTTCCCCACATGCTGGCTGAGGGCATTGGCGGCCACCCGCAACGGCCCCAGGCTTCGACGGAGGCCCCGATGACACCCTCACAACAAAGAGTTCGCACCCTCACTGCAAATGCAAAAACGCGCCGCGAAGTAGTTTGCAGGTTAGGCCTGGGACTTGTTTTTCAGCCTGTGCGCGCGCGCGCATGGTCGCAAGGCAGGGGAGCGGAACCAGCTCTGCAACGATGCAGATCTCCTACTCGCCTGCCGTGCGATGTGGTGCGGGGCACTGCTCTGCAGAAGCTTCCGACGAGCCGCCAGAGCTTTACAAAGCATAAATCCCCTTGCAAATCGCATGCTGCTCGCGTTGGAGCCTCGAATTGCGGGCTGCTTGGGTCTTGAGACGGTCTTCGCATCATCTTGGCATCGCAACACAAAAGCGACTAGGAGTACTGAGGTGTCGGATGCTGCGACAAATTCTATCACGATCAGGTGACATCATGCCAACGATAGCGCACAGCATGCAGGACCATGAAACTGTACTTCAGCCCCCTGCTGAAACGACCGTCAGTGCACCCAGCGGTAAACCACCCAGGCCCCATCGCTAGATCAAAGGGGCACCAAGGGCTACTGAATTACTAGTCGGTGCTGCACCCTGCTGATCCCAACCTTTGTGATGAACTGGACTCTGGATGACTCTGGCACACCTATACAAGTAGAGAGAATAGCAGAGATCGCAGAGAAGGCCATGCCACCTGCACTCAGAGCTGGATGGAGACAGCCCGCAGCTAAGCGCCGCCAAGCTTGCTGCTCCGCACCGCTGCGGAATTTGCCACTTGGAGAATGAGATCAGCGGCTCTCCGGACTCCACCTCAGGCAATGCTGGTCGCGCGTGACACATGAGTTGATGGCATCTAGTGGGGATAAGGAGTACAGACTCAGCAGAGGTCACCTGGGAAAACCGCGTGTGGCACGCTTCATAAGGCTTCATGAAGTCAACCCTGGCGCCTGCAGATTGCATCTGCGATGCGCACTCCCCAGCTTTGGCCTTGAAATCTGGGTTTGTGTACACCGATTCGAGAGCTGCCATGACATCTTGCCGATACTTGGCAGCCACTTGTGGCGCTTCACTCAGGTCACACAAAGGGCGCTCGATCTGCAAGCCGACACCCAGCTGGACAGCTTTCTTCGCGTTGACGGGCTGGTCTGCGAAGCCTGGGCAAACGACCACGGGGACGCCGGTGCTCAGCGACTCCATGAAACTGTTCTGGCCACCGTGCCTTCGACATTTGCAGACCCGCGGCCAGTCTTTACACGATTCCATACGAAACAAACGAAAATTGCATCTCTCTCTCGAAGGTGGCTCTGCCAAGCCTTCTAAGCCCGTCTTGGTTACTGCGCTTTGCCCCGTTTCCTCTTCGTACCTGTGTCCGTCCCCTCACGTGCTAGTCGCTGCTAGTCTTTATGGCTTCTCCGTTGTTGCCCCCTCGGTGTGGGGGTGCTAGATTCCAAGTCAACCATGGTGTCCCGCCTGGTCGAGGCTGCCGATCCCTGATTATCCTTGACGGCCTACTATCCCTGGAGTGCCCACCCCTAGAGAAGCGTGCAGAGTGCGGAGAGCTGTAGGGACAATGTAGGTTTAGGTCTTGGACGAGGGGCGTCAGAAAGAGGTCCACGCCCGCTTTCAGGATGTCCACTTGCGGCATGACTGGCAAGCAGAAGGCGTTCGCCGGAGGTGAGAGGTTCTCCAGCGCATCAGCCTGAGGCCCGAGGGACACCAACAGCAGTGGACCCTCATCGGCGCTGTGGGCGCCAAAGGCATCGAAAAGGCCACCCCAGGCTGCTTGGCAAAGCTCTTTGCCAGTCAATCCCTGAGGAACCCCATCGACTGACCTTGGCTCTGCAAAATCCGCCGAGGCCTCGGGCCGAAGGTGTATAGGTAGTCAGAACAGGCACCCCCCTCCAAATCCTCCCCAAGCCCAAAGCCCTTTTTCGGACCCCTTTTTTTGCCTCAAACCCCCCCTAGGTGAGCAGGGTCCGCAAGCGGATGGTTCGCCGGCAGTTGCGGCCCTTCCCAGCAAGGCCCCCCCCCTTTTTCACCCCCCCCACCCCCACCCCTTTCCCCCCCCCCCCTACCCCCCTACCCCCCCCCCCCCCCCTACCCCCCACCCCCCCCCCCCTACCCCCCCTCCTGACCTTTTACCCCCCCCCCACCCCCCCCTTCCCCCCCCCCCCCCCCCACCCCCCCCCTTTAGTCCCTCCCCCAAAAGCCACTGAGCGGCTGGGCTGGAGGTGCTAATGGAGGGGCTTGATGTTTGTAGGTGTCGCTATAGCACACCCAATGGTTCATAACCTAGGGGTGTCGCTTTTCAAGTGTTCCCATCGTTTTACAGGGTTTTGGGCATTCGTGTCCACCCCTTGCTTAATTGAATGGCTGGGGGTTTTGGCGCTTGCTCACATAAGGTGTTTGTGAAAGGCGGAGTTTTCCTGCTCCGACGCGCTGGCTTGAGGGCCGGAGGCTCACTGGTGTGAGCACGGCCGCAAATCCGCCGAGGTTCGGTTGGAGGTCCACTTTTTGGACCCTTTTTTTGCCTCAAATGGGTACCCCCCCTGGGAAACCGGGGTCCGCAAGCGGACGGTTCGCCAGGACCAGAGGCAGTTGAAGCCCCTCCCAGCAGGGCCCCCCCCCCCTTTCCCCCACCCCTCCCACCCCCCCCCACCCCCCCCACCCCCCCACCCCCCCACCCCCCCCCCCCCCTCCCACCCCCGCCCCCCCAACTCGCCCCCCGGTTTTCGAGGCTCAACTCCGGGACGAGCAAAGAGTAACCAAAACCCGAAACCTTCAATCTTAGCTCCCCCCCCCCTTTCTCTTCTGCACCCCTTCCCCCCCACCCCTACCCCCCCCTGAGGGGCCTGGCTCAACCCTACGATCAATCCAAGCCGAACCGTCTCTTGAACCCTAAACCCAAAAAAAACCTAAACCCCAAAGCAAGAACCTTGCGCCCTAAGCCCTCAATCCTAAACTAACCCTCAACCCTAAACCCCAGACCATAAACCATAAACCCGGAACCCTCACGCGGATGCGCTGGGCCGGGCCGAGGCGGGTCGCGTAGCGTTAAAATTATTTCCGTGAGTGCTTCTCAGGACAACAGCGGAGTCTAGCGATACTGACGATCGTCCAGGCGGCATGTTGTGTCTCCAGCCAACTTCTGGACCGTCCCCTGTAATCACGGTCCCCATGCTCGCAAAGACAACCTGTCGACCAGCTTCACGAGCCTTGACAAGCAAGGCCAGTGGATCTGCAGGCTGTGCAGGGTCAGCAGGGTCAGCAGGCTCAGAGACCTTCGGCTCCTCTGAAGCTTTCGCGAACTTGTGTCCCGCCGCTCGCTTGGCTCCAACCTTGTCCAAAAGAGGCCCGACGTAGACAAACTCCGTCTGGGCTGCCTCATACACCTCCTGCAGATCAGGTGCCAAGGGGTCTGCCAGGAGCTCGACGGTTGTGACCAGCGTCAGCGCAGACTGCTTCGCGACCACCGAGACGCCAAGTGGCGACATTTCCTCGTCAATCGTGATCTCCAGCCCATACGTGTTCCGCAAGCGCTCGATGGCGTCAAGAAGGGGCTGATAGGCGCGACGCTCCTCAGGGGCAAACAACAGGCAGTGCTTTTGTGTTACTCCAGCCTTTGGCCAAGCTGTCAAGCATTGTCAAGCGCTCCTCCAGGCACCGCTCAGGGGTGTAGCCCATCTTCTCCAACCATTCCACCATCGAGACCCGCAAGCTTCCCGGCCCTGCTGTTGTCAGGATGCCAACGCAGGGGATGCCGAGAAGCTGGGCTCCCCAACAGGCCTCCTTGTTCATTAAAGGGCAAATGACAACCACATCAGCCTTTACTTTTCGAAGCCAGCGGAGGATACCAGGCAGCATCAATTCTTGCATGATTTCCCGAATCTTGAACATGGCGATGAACAGGGGCTCAGATTCCAAGCCATATTCCTTCTGCAGGTCCGTCAAGCACCCGAATATGTCGACATTTCTGCCCTCGTACATCTCGGGCAGGGCCTCGACTTCTGAGTGGAAAATGGCACCTGTGTCCTCAATTGCCTCCTTCATCTGCTCCCTGCACAAGTACGACACTTCGTGGCCTTCCTCCACCAAGGCACGTGCGACTGGCAGGGATGGGTTGATGTGCCCGGAGGCCATGGGAAAGATGAAGGCGAACTTCCGCGTCGGGATCGACATGCTTGGGCTAGGGCGACTAGTTGTCACGAGGAGTATACTTACAGCTCTGAGCCAGGCAGCTTCTCCTGAAGCAGCACGGCGTAGCATAGTGGAAGCACTACTACAGCAACAACAACAACAACATGACACGGCAACGCAACCAAAAACAGCGCGGAGCGCGACCCTCCAGATGCCAGAAGCGGCACGAAACCTTGCAGCCGGACTTGCCTCGTGTTCCCTGCGCCATGGGCTCCATGTGAGGCCCGCAAGGCCCAACACCACGAGCAGTGAAAGATCCCCTGTGAGATGCAAGTTGCCGGCAGCTTTGTGGATTGGCTACCTCACTTCTTCCTTCTTCACATCTCCGTTCAATCGGGTCAGCAGCTTGAGCCCCAAAAGGTACACAAAGCTGCCCAAAGCCAGTGCAGGGTCCTGCCCATGTCTATATTGCTTGACGCCAGAGCCGTGATTGTTGCGCTTCTCAGAATCTGGGAATCTGAGGGTCCTGGATTTCGGGGTTGTCGTTCTCTTTGGTCCGCCATTCTTCTGCAGGACAAACGCTACTTTTCATGAACAATGAAATCTGCATAATTATTATTAGCTAGTTGTTTTGGGGCGTCCCCTACCGGGCCCTACCGTTCTGCAGATCAGAAGCTGCCCAAGCGCACAGTAGTATCCAATATACAAGTACTTGCCAGTAATTTTGACGGTCGCTCAAAAGGGACTATAATCACACGGGCGCAATCCGACTTTTGAACTCGAGGTCGCACGGCCGCAACAGCGCAGCTGCTAGCCGCTGTCCTGAACGGGGATGGGAGCTGGGCATGGCAGATCATGGCAGATCATCGCATAGCTTCGGAAGGCTTAGGCTGTGTGGCCCCAAGCGAAAGTTGCCCCACTGCCGGCGCAGTACATTGAAGTCATTGGAAGCATGTTGGAGCATGTTGGAGCATGTTGGAGCCCTTGCGAGTAACCTCGACTCTTGTGGCTCCAAGCCACTCTGTTCATCGCTCCCAGATCGACTGCTTGCCCTTGTGCCGGTTGTCCACCCAAACCTGCTGCGCGTGGGAGTCATCGGAGTGCCACACAGCCACAGTTGAGTCTAAGATCGCGTGTGTCCTTAAAAACATGCCGGAATTTCGATCTTGTACGGACTGCTTGTCCTATCCTGGCAGGCAGGAGGGTAGCTGCTAAGGTGTTGTGAACTGTTCTGAAGGAAGGCCCTGCCTCGAGCTGATAATGCCCGCAGGAGAACCGCCCGCTGCCTTCTCCGCAAACGCAACGAACAAAGCATAGTCGTCACAGCAGGCAGTGCAAGGTCGGTCTGCACTGGTTCTGCCACAGGCCCCAGCCGTGCTGCTTGACATTCAAGCGGATAGGATCACGACCTCCCGTGGCTCCCGCGCGACACAACGCAACGGAAGCGAATCTTTAGAGATGCAACCTCAGCATTTAGATGCTGGCAAGTATAGGCAGCAGTGAAGAGGAGCATCATTCAGTCGAGAGTGGAGCAGTACGCTTCTGGGTTACTGAGGCAGCCGGGTATAGCCGAGTTCCCCGGGTCGCTTCTGTGCCCGCGCAGAATGTGGGGAGCCTCTCTTGGACAAGGCAACATCCAGCTGGCCACGGCTCGTGTTGCGGGCCCTGACATGCCACGAGCAAGGCTCCAGATATCTTGTTTCCCTGCAGAAAAGAAGGTGCAGCCAAATTCTGTGCTGTGGCTTTTGCTTTCCCCCTCCCCGAAGCCCTCACCCCTTCACATAATTGCAAACCTGCCAGCCGCACCATTCCACGGAGACTTTGTTGCCCATGGTGTCGTGCCTCCATGCGGGTGCTGCCATGATCAGTCTCTCCACGAAGCGCTGGATTTTGCGAAGCGCGTCAAAGCATATCAAACAAGGATGCCATGGATGCCGCAGCTGTTTACACATGCATCTTGGCACCAGAGTGCCCCGAAGAGTGACAATGATGGAAAGAGGCCGAAAAGGAACTCGATCTTCGAATGCTTCCAGCGGGTTCTGTGCTTAATAACCAGGCTCAGAAAAAAAAACCCAAACATTCACCTGAATATCTTACATGCTCGATCGCCTTGCACCCTCATGTCCAAAAAGGCTTTAAGAAAGCTGGCCAAGGGACCAGTCCCCGAGAAAGTCCTCCAGGCAAAGTTCCTCGGACCGCCTTCAGGTCATCAGCTTGGAACGATGTTTTCCCGGGCGGGATCTGAATTTTGTAGGCCAACTGCGGGGAAAGATTATAAAGACTCTCCCTCAAGATGATCCCAAAATCATCCAAAATCCGACGTCCGAACTTCGACTTTTCATGGTGTGATCGTGGGGATCTGGGCAAAAAAGTCTTCAATGGATCCTTCAGCGATCAGAGATCCTTGCCTCTCAAGCTTTGGAGGAGGTGGTCCAGGAACCGGCGGAGGGAGGTACGTCGGCATCATGGGCCTCGGCAGGAGAGGCAGCTCATGCTCTGAAGTCTTTGACCTGCAGAGGTGGGCGAGCACTAGGTCACTAGGACCACCCGCGCAAAGCCTAGATAGTTTCGGGGGGCTGCCTATAGTGAGCCCAAACTCGATCAACCCACCGGCAACGAGCGGCCGAACTCTACAAGGATGGTTGTGCACAACGACCTCTACACCAGAATTCTGCATGGCGCGTTTTGCACCATGAGTTCACGCCTCGGAGTGCGTTCGCCTCTAACCAAGCCTCTGTGCAGATGCCATTTGAGTCAGCATCTTTCGGAAACAAGCAGGGCTTCACAGAGCTCGAGGCAGCATTGTCGAGTCTGGCACAAGCTTAAACTGGCCTGAGACGAATAGAAGCTAGCGCCGGAGCAGTGGCCTAGAGCATAGTGACATAGTGTTGCCTCTTTCAGGGCCCGAAGCTCATTCTCTGGGCGTGCTCGAGACTTGTTCGTCGAATGCCGGCTCCTCAGATGTATTCAGCGAAGGTGAGCCGAGGCTGCAATCGAGTATTAATTTTGGCAGGGTGCTTGGCATGGACCTTTGGCCAAGAGTGTCAAGGTAAAGAAGGTACCTGCATGCAACTACTAAGATTGTGCACTCAATGCCAACACGCCCGTTAGCTGAGGACAGGACAACGTTTCACTCATCACACAGCCGCCCAGCCATCGCTCGCCTATTGAGAGCCTCAAGCTGGGCTGAAGACATAAACGGAGAAGCCACAGGTGTGTGCAAGCTGCGAGCCTGGGAAGCTCCAAATCAATGAACTTCACCGACCCCGCATCGGCATCCAAACGAAATCCATGCAGGGGCTCCTGAGGGCGCTCTCACTCGCTTTCCTTCCTTCCGGTGCACTTGGTCCCACGAAACCGAGTCTGTTGGTGTGAACAGTGGGAAAGAGCTCTCTCTCTCTCTCTCCGTCCGAAGGTTTGTCTGTTGCACCCCCCACGCTTTTCGTGGGGGTGGGTAGGAGTGGGAAAGAGCTCTCTCTCTCTCTCTCTCTCTCTCTCGCCTCTTCCTTCCTTCCTCTGCACATGGTCCCCGAAGGGGCGTGCTCCACCTCTCTCTCTCTCTCTCTCTTCCTTCCTTGCTTCCACCTCTCTCTCTCTCTCTCTCTCTCTCTGTCTGACTTTTCGTTTGGGGAGCAAGGGCCTCAACATTGTCACTAAGACATTTGAGACACTCGGGAAGCACTAGCCATGGGAGTTAGCCGAGTTATGGCGTTTAACCCCCTGGTGCGTTGTTGAATGGATTTCGCGTGATATGCCAAGAGACACTTGAGAAGCCTGAGACGCTTGAGATGCCACAGGCGCTTGAGACGCCTGACACACTTGAGACGTGGTATGCGGCTCGAGCTGGTGCACCGTAAAGGAGGCGCTCGAGACGCTTAAGACGCGATCAGAGACGCTGTGCAGCTTCGCGGCTCGCCGCTTCTTTAGCGCGTGCTTCGACCCCCAGCGCCCGTATACTCAAATGTACGTAGGACCTTTATGCGCAACTTAACGGTTCTCTTTGTTTGCATCAAGCTGGTAAAACTTTAAGGAGCGGTTTTAACGGGCCTTTACAAGCATTTACACTTTGAAAGCCGTACCCTCAAAATTTAAGGGCTTTGAAAATTAAACTAAAGATTTTCGAGATTTTCAATGTTTGACAGTTCCAGGACCCCGGATTCCCATTAATGTTAACAGGAAGTCCTAGGTTTGTAATAGGATTTCTTTCAAGAATTTTAAAAAAGACTACTGTAGTAGTCATAGTAGGATTTCCTCACACAGCTTCTATTATTTTCATAGGCTGCCACATATTTTAAACAGATTTCTAATAGGATTCCTAGAACATGTGTTTCAAAAGATTAAAATCTGAATAGGGATTGTTGAAGGGCCTTTGGATTTTAACAAATGGAAGCCGAGCTTTGAACATGTTAAGGATTTTCAAAAAGTTTTCGACAGTTTAACCTTTAAGCCTTTAAGCAGCATGGCCTACAGCTTTGGATGGCTTTCGGTCCTCCTCTCCCACGAAAGTGAAGATCCATGACCGCTGAGTCCTTGGAGGCAACTGCTTTGCTGAGCTGATCTTTGGTCTCTGCAGTCGGAAGCTTGAGCTGAGCATCGGCCACGTTACAAAGCCATCAACACGTCCAACATCGAAACTCCTCCGTGGAACCAGTTCCTGGGCGACTCTGATATGCGCAAATTGAAGACGGTGGGCGTCTGAAACGTTGTTGGCCTATGAGGGTCACTGGTTGTGGTCACTTCTGGCGTGTAGCACTTTGGACTTGGTGCTGAGATGTGGCAAGGCTCGCACGTCTTGTGGTCACACCGTGGCTGCAAGTGCACAACATCCTCACCAGGCTCCTCAAAGCCCGTGCTGGATGTGCGTAATGCCCACGGCCCCTGCCATCCGGGAAACTCGCAACACCTTTTGCCCCTTACATTGCTTACGCCCACGTGAGCGCCGTGCCTCGCTGGCAAGGCTCCTGCACAAGACTCATCAATCTGGATGCACACGCACACACGCAGCTGCTTCCATAGTGTCCTCCAGGGCCCACCAAGAACTCTGGTGATGTTGGCCACGCCCTGCATGGGGCAGCGCAGAACATCAGAGCCTCGACACAGGTGCGAAGAAGCGTGTTGAGACAGGAAGCATGAAAAAAAGCAGCCCACAAAGATGGCCATCAAGCAGCCTTTTGCGGAGAGGAGCCAGATGGTGCAGTTGGCCGGCACCTCTCAAGGCGGCTGTTCATCTGGCTGTCTCAAGAAATCATGCTAAACAACAAGCCTGAAGCCCTGGAGTTTTTCAATGGCCTTTGGACAAAGGTCTGGTAGATGCTCGGGCCGGATACTTACTAGGAGTTACTAGGAATGACATGGCAGAGTCACGTGGGACCCAGGGGACTGCGGCGTCCGACATGCAAGGTTGGGTTTTCGAGATGCAAAGCGCGCGCCCGAGATGCATGGCACCAAGCCGTTTGCATCTCGAAAACCCAACCTTGCATGTCGGACCAGGATTCTATTATCCAGAGAAAATTCCTCCTTCTCTTTTTACTGTTAATAGGATTTCCTCCACGGGCTCAGCAGTTTGCATCTCGAAAACCCACCTGTGCCGGTCGGACCCGGATTTTACTATTTTACTATTTTACTATTTTACTATTTTACTATTTTACTAATTTTACGCGAAATCGGGAGTTTGCATCTCCAAAACCCACCTGTGCCGGTCGGACCCAGAATTTCGCGAAATCCAGAGAAAATTCCTCCTTCTCTCTTTACTTTTAATAGGATTTCCTCCACGGGCTCAGCAGTTTGCATCTCGAAAACCCACCTGTGCCGGTCGGACCCAGATTTAGTTAGCAATGGTCATGCCCCTTGGAAGATAGGAACAATCCATACACCCCCCCCCACGCCCATACATCATTTTTCACTCATGTTTCACACATCCTAACTCATAGCCTTCTTCATTATCACATTTTTCACCAAAAACACGCATCGCACCTTATCCATTTTCCAAATCTATTTTTTCTCAATTTTTCCATCATTTTTTGAAAATACATTTTTTCTCAAAAAATATTGTTGTATCTTAGCGAATTTAAAATCTATCAAATCTTGTCATATAGCCTTATTCATTTTCATTTATATCTCGTCTTATTCGTTTTTTCTTTTCAATCCTCCTTATTCGTTTTTAAATCGTTTAGCCTCACTCGTTTTAAATTTTCCTCAAATTTCTTAAATTTTATCGTTGATTATTAGCGGGTCTTTCATTTATAAAAATTCTTCCGGAAAATTATCTAAAATCGTATCTTTCCAATGGGCGTGATGGGGTTCATTCATTTTATCAAAATTATTCAATAATGTATTGTAATCTTCCCGATGGGCGTGAGGGGGTTGATAGAATTTAGGGTATTTTGGGTGGTTCGCGTATGCTACACGAAACTTCGTGTTCGGGGCTTGGAGCAGTAGATGATACAAGGTTTTGTTAATATAAAGGAATATTAACAAAATCTGTTTATCAATTTATTTTAGAATAGATTGTATCAATTACTGTTTCCTTGATATAAATTAAAAATACTTCTCATTCTCCGCATCATACTGCGAATTTGATTGAGGGCTGAATGATTTAAAAAAATCCAGTAGAGCATCCGGCCCGATGCCCTACAGCATCCAGCCCCATGCCCTAGAGCATCCGGCCCAATGCCCTACAGCATCCAGCCCAATGCCCTAGAGCATCCGGCCCAATGCCCTAGAGCATCCGGCCCGATGCCCTAGAGCATCCGGCCCAATGCCCTAGAGCATCCGGCCCGATGCCCTACAGCATCGCGCCCGATGCCCTCCCTACTCCCGCCCGATGCCCTCCCTACTCGTGCCCGATGCCCTACAAAATCAAGCCCCGATTTTGGAAAAACTCAGTGTCATGGTAGTAAAAATATGGTTTTTAGGAGTTTTGTAAATAATTAATACAATATTTTTGAGATATTATTGTATTAATCATTCATATTCATACACACTACCACCATCACTATCACTATCACTATCATTATCACTATCACTATCGGTATTAAACCAATATTCATTAATGATATTTAATAGAGAAAAACCAAAATCGCAATCATATAAATAGTGGTGAGTTTCAACAATACTTCCGTGGTTATTATCCATAATATAAAAAATGACTTCTTTCAGTATGTTATAGTATGCATTTAATATATGGGGGTTTTTACGATAATATAAATGCTTAAAATCAAAAAACATATCAGCATTATCTAAATTATCATACAACCATTTCAACTTCTTATGTTGAAACTCAGTATATGTAATTAATCCCTTCAATATTTCATTTGTGATAAACTCATAAGAAGGAAATGGATTAAACTTAATAAAATAATATGTTTGAATTTCCATTAATGAATAGTATTTCCAATCAATACAATTTCCAATTACAGAGGTTATTTTAATGCACTTTGAACATGAAAAGAAATTACACACAGAAGCAATTGTATTATCATTTAAATTAATCTTGAGTTGTTTTTTTAATCCCAGTCGCATTTTCTTACATTCTTGGCAGTTATTAACAATTGACATTACATAATTCAGACTATTCATTAAATCATCCTTACAACAATGTTTGGGAATATCAGAACTGGTAGCGCTTTCTGTATCACTCATTTTCACACTAGTATATATACCTGTTATTTCTTTAAATGCTTTCTTCCTTGAATGGTTCAAACCCGTGAGGATTAAACCCCCTAGGGTTAGCTTTCAAACCCCTAAGGGTTAGCTTTCAAACCCCTAAGGGTTAGCTTTCAAACCCCTAAGGGTTAGCTTTCAAACCCCTAAGGGTTAGCTTTCAAACCCCGAAGGGTTAGCTTTCAAACCCCCAACTCCTAGAGTTTGCCCATAAACTCCTAGAGTTTGCCCATAAACTCCCGGAGTTTGCCCATAAACTCCCAGAGTTTGCCCATAAACTCCTAGAGTTTGCCCATAAACTCCTAGAGTTTGCCCACAAACTCCTAGAGTTTGCCCATAAACTCCTAGAGTTTGCCCATAAACTCCTAGAGTTTGCCCACAAACTCCTAGAGTTTGCCCATAAACTCCTAGAGTTTGCTCAGAAGCAAACGCAAGAGAAAACAAGTAAAAAGAAAAAATGAATAAACAAAATAAAGATAAACATAATTAATACAAATATTTAAGGTCATATTGTATTAATTATTTGCTTAGTAACTCTTGATGCTTGGCAGTTCTCTTATGTGAAGCCATATTCCGCGTGGATACATAACATCCACATTCACATAGCCTTTTCTCTTGTAATTTCATTGTAAGGGTTTCTTTGTGGTCTTCTCTATACTTCTTATCTACCTCATGTTTGTGTTCCTTTGTTCTCTCTCGGTATTCTTTTTTTTGTGCCTTGCTATGTTCTATTGTATCATAATAGTGTTGTTTTTTGGTTCTACCCATAATTTTTCTATTCACACATGTTGTGTTTCGGATGTGGTAACCCTCTCGCGCTTCAAGTTCTGTTCTATTCTGACATGGGTACATTTCCAGTAATTCAATTTTGCAGTTTTCCATCCCGAATTCGTTAAACAAATGGAATGCAGTGGTGAGATTTCCATTATTGTATAAATATTGTTTGTATTTATCTCGGTGTTTCGTCATTCGCTTTGATAGTTCTTCAACAGTACTACCAATGTAGCATTTCGTATAATTACTATCCCAAATAGCATATATTTTACCTTTCTGGAAGTCTGGCATTAGTTGTATAACCGAATATACCTTTAATTACCTTTTTACACCTTCAACAACTCAAAACGTAAATAGCCTCTGCTCATACCTTCCACATAATAATATTTTTGCCCTAATTCCTCCTCTATTTTTTCTACTGTATATACGTTCTTTGAGAAATTTCCTATGCGTTCTTTTTCATTGGGCTTTCTTTTCCTGAATATTTTAACCTCGTCTCCTTTGTCTAACTCAGGATATACCTTATTTTTCTTTGCCTTTTTGGCTAAATTCAACTTAACCTCTAGCTCATTTGATTGCTTTCTCGCCTCTTTTGGTGTCATTTCGGTGGCGGAATGTTTCATAACATTATTGTAGGTCAGCAGAATTTCAAATATGTAATCTATCCACTGAATATTTTGTTTCCCCTTTTTCTCATCTGCTTCAACCCTCCGATACAACAAATCTTTAAACGTCCGTATCGCCCTCTCACTGAAGTTGGGATGTGCTCTTGTTATGTGGTGTTGTATGTTTTGCTCTTTGAAATATGTTTGTATTGCTTCCTTGCTCAGAGCTCCTTCATCATCGGTATAAACGACCTTTGGTTTCTTCCCCATCTTGTTTAAGCTTTCTATAATACCACTGGCTAAATCTTCTTCTGTTTTACCCTTAATAGGTACAACATGCATGAACTTATCGAACACATCAATCGTTAGCATTCCTACTCTAAATTTTTGGTCCTCCATATCATTAATAAAGAATAAGTCTATTTGATACTCGTATGCCGAGTGAGGAGCCACAAAACTGTTTCTGCCTGGTGGTCTTCGTTTTTGCTCTACATTCTTCCTAAAAAACTCATTGATATCATCTGCTGTTATACTTTTATCTTTCCTCCTTGCTTCTTGTAAGGTCCGCGCCCTACTGCCGAAACCGCTCCTATCAAAATACACTTCGCTAATAATATCTTGTTTAGAACTCATTATAATAAACAAGATATTATATATTCTCACCTTCATTTAGAGCTACAGTTACAGTAATGACAATAGGCTATACAATTAGCTTTAACATGCGCCATCTCATTATTTACGCGCTGGGCTGTTAGATTACTAACCAACTCCCCGCACTTAACATCAAATTCAAACCCGCATCCGCATTTATTGCACCTTGAATTAATCCTATCATACAGCCACTTAGCATTAATATAATCGGCATCTTCTACATTCCTACCTGCCTTTAAATCTTGTATCTTGTAGCGCTTAACCTTGTTCTCTAAATATCGCATTAATGTAGCCTCGTTTAATTCATCATCCTTTTCTTCAGACTTGTAAAACATAACTTTATTAATATCAGTAGCCCTTGTGATGCTCGTATAA